CTCGGCTCAGATGTAGCCTGCTCCAGCGCAGCAGGCGCATCAGATGTAGCCTGCTGCATCGCCTCAGGTGTAGCCTGCTCCAGCGCAGCAGGTGCAGCCTGCTCCAGCACATCAGACGTAGCCTGCTCCATCGCCTCAGATGTAGCCTGCTCCATCGCCTCATACGTAGCCTGCTCCATCGCCTCAGATGTAGCCTGCTCCATCGCCTCAGATGTAGCCTGCTCCATCGGCTCAGGTGTAGCCTGCTCCAGCGCAGCAGGTGCAGCCTGCTCCATCGCCTCAGATGTAGCCTGCTCCATCGCCTCAGATGTAGCCTGCTCCATCGCCTCAGGTGTAGCCTGCTCCATCGCCTCAGATGTAGCCTGCTCCATCGCCTCAGGTGTAGCCTGCTCCAGCGCAGCAGGTGCAGCCTGCTCCATCGCCTCAGATGTAGCCTGCTCCATCGCCTCAGGAGCAGCCTGTTCCATCGGCTCAGATGTATCCTGCTCCATCGGCTCAGATGTAGCCTGCTCCATCGCCTTAGGTGCAGCCTGCTTCATCGCCTTAGGTGCAGCCTGCTGCATCGCCTCAGGTGTAGCCTGCTCCAGCGCAGCAGGTGCAGCCTGCTCCATCGGCTCAGATGTAACCTGCTCCATCGCCTCAGATTTAGCCTGCTCCAGCGCAGCAGGCGCATCAGATGAAGCCTGCTGCATCGCCTCAGGTGTAGCCTGCTCCATCGCCTCAGGCGCAGCCTGTTCCATCGGCTCAGATGTATCCTGCTCCATCGCCTCAGATGTAGCCTGCTCCATCGCCTCAGTAATAGCCTGCTCCAGCGCAGCAGGTGCAGCCTGCTCCATCGCCTCAGATGTAGCCTGCTCCATCGGCTCAGATGTAGCCTGCTCCATCGCCTCAGGTGCAGCCTGCTCCAGCGCAGCAGGCGCATCTGATGTAGCCTGCTGCATCGCCTCAGATGTAGCCTGCTCCAGCGCCTCAGATGTAGCCTGCTCCATCGCCTCAGATGTAGCCTGCTCCATCGCCTCAGATGTAGCCTGCTCCATCGGCTTAGATGTATCCTGCTCCATCGGCTCAGATGTAGCCTGCTCCAGCGCAGCAGGTGCAGCCTGCTCCATCGCCTCAGGTGCAGCCTGCTGCAGCGCAGCAGGTGCAGCCTGCTCCAGCGCAGCAGGCGCATCAGGTGTAGCCTGCTCCATCGCCTCAGATGTAGCCTGCTCCATCGCCTCAGATGTAGCCTGCTCCATCGCCTCAGATGTAGCCTGCTCCATCGCCTCAGGTGCAGCCTGCTCCAGCGCAGCAGGCGCATCAGACGTAGCCTGCTCCAGCGCATCAGATGTAGCCTGCTCCATTGGCTCAGATGTAGCCTGCTGCATCGCCTCAGATGTAGCCTGCTCCAGCGCATCAGATGTAGCCTGCTGCATCGCCTCAGATGTAGCCTGCTCCATCGCCTCAGGTGCAGCCTGCTCAGGTGCAGCCTGCTCCAGCGCAGCAGGTGTAGCCCGCTCCATTGCCTCGGGTCTTGGCAGCTCTGGTGCATCAGGTGTAACAAGTTCCGGCGCAGCAGGCGCATCAAGTGTAGGCAGCTCTGGCGCAGCCGATGTAGCCGGCTCCAGTACAGCAGGCTCGGGTAGCTCAGGTAGCTCTGGCGCCTCAGGCGCATCTAGCTCTGGCGTATCAGGCGCATCTAGCTCTGGCGTATCAGGTGTAGCCGTCTCTACTGCATCAGGCGTACTCAGCTCTGGCCCATCAGGTGCAGCCGGCTCCGCTTCCAATCGATCGTCATGATCAGCACTTGGGCTGTGAATGACCACTGTCGTGCAGGCCCACCGACGCGGTGTTTCTACCATGACAGCCATTGGTTTGGTTCCATTTACTCTAGAGCTGTCGCCTGCAAACGCAGCTGCAATCGTTGCTTCGTCGGCTGCGCCCCCTAATACCTGTTTGGCTGATGACGGCCCATTTGGGTGTTTATCCTCTGTACGCGCCCCGGCAGTATAGCTGACTCGACCGTTCACGCTGCCATTGAGAATATCCGTTGCCTCATCAAACGATGTCGGTCCAGCGTGGAGTTCGGTTTGTTCTGTGTGCTCCAATGCTGACTGATGAGGCAATGAGGCGAGTTGCCAGCCTTCTTGCTCTTCCATTGGGTTGGTCACATTGCTCCCCGCTTCACCAGCGGTGTGGCTGACGCTGTCTTTTGGCGGCTCATCAGAGGTCGTTGCCATGGCTGCACGCGATGTATCGTCCGCCTCCATGAACATTGGTCGTTTGGCCGGAGGTTGACCTTGGCATTGCTGATTCAAGTCAAGCATCCCATGGCCCGGCTGCTCATGCGATGATAAGTTCTGTGGAATCGCATTGGCGGCACGATGCTTTTGTTTTTGCTTCTCAAGCAAGACCAAAAAAGATTGCACGTCCACATCGTGTCTCTTGGGTCGCTTGGGTCGCTGGACCTCCATATAGCTCGAGCCCCGTCCTGCTTGCCTGAGCCGCTGCATAAAGACGCTTCGTGGCGTCTCCGAAGTGGCGGGATCACCCACATGACATTGCTTTTGATGTCGTAGCAGGCTTTCGGGTGTGGAAAAGCAGCAAGTACAGCATGGACATCTGTATCCACGATATGCTGGAATGCCTGGATACGCAGGTCGACAGCCATTCATGTCTAGAATGGGCTTGCTTCGCGGCATTGCTTCCTTGATGAGGTCCATTGCTCGCGAGATATCTGCGTCTTGCACGTTTACTAGGTGGCTCTTCAGGTGCATGGCTGGGCGATTGTTCAAAGCCAACCCACACTTGCCGCAGATTAATACCCATTCGTACTCATCCAAAAGCAGACCAAGCGACTCCAGGTAGGATTGAGCATGTGATACATTGGCATTAACGCTCAGCGACACTTGACGATGAGGAAACCGCCTTTGAGACGCTTTAAGGGCATCGTCAGTGTCCACAAGGCGGTGCGGGCGCAACTCAACAAGAGCGGTCCCTGTCGCATCCTCGTGATCGTTTTTGATATGCCGTCTCGTGCTCTCAGGATTGGCGTATCGATGCCTGCAGTCAACCATGGGACAGTGAAATTTGCCATCGAGGCCCCGTTCCAAATGGAAGGTCAAAGATCCGATCCTGATACTCGATGCTTGCTGATGATGCTGCAAGTTGGTTTCAAAGCAAAGTGAGGATGCCATAGACCACATGAAAGAACCCGCGCACGACGTAAGGCTCACCTTGCGCTGATGTTTCTCCCTCTCCTTCTGAGTTTTGAACGTGAGCGAACATTTTTGGCATGCAACGGGTTGGCTTTGAGAGTTGGATGAAGATGAAACATCCATGTTGTGGCGTGATGAGAATGTTCAAGTCGACTGAAGTACAAGGCCTGCAAACGTTCGGGGCTGGCCAAATGGATGGCATACCCCTGAGCGAGGAAGTAAGCGTGGTGGTGCTCCAGAAGAATGGGAAGGGACTGATGGGTGTGTCGCCAACAAAACATACTTTGATGGCTTTTGGCAAACAATGATGCTGCCTTGCGTCGGCCGTCGTAATGGGCGATTACCAATCCAAGCAGTGGGACGGGCGCCAACCACCCAGTATCCTTGGTGCAACTTGCACTGCAAGTATCCGAACGGTTGCTCCCACGACGACCCAAGCCAAGATGGCTTGAGCGCCGCAACCTCCACGATAAAAAAAAAATAATTCCGTCACACACACACACACACACACACACACACACACACACACACACACACACACACACACACTCACACACACACACACACACACTCACACACACACACACACACACACACACACACACACACACACACACACACACACGCAACACACACACACACACACACACACATTCAACAAAATCTCTCAGTTTCCACGGCTTGTGCTGCTTCTTCAAAAGTCATATCTACACTTTCTTTCATTTCTTCTACGAAAAGTGAAGGGAATTGAATCAAATGACCTTACTCGAATTCATAGAGGATGCATTAACTTTAATAATGGATACAAATAAAATCGGTTTTAGAACAAGAAGGGCAGGCGTGAGGCGGGCGCCTCGGAGGCGGGCGCGGCCAACCATACGAACAACAGCAAAGACGCGCCAGTCAGACGAAGGCAGCATGAGCCCGGAATGAGCCTCCTTGTAGCCAAGGATATTGATTACCACTCGCTGCTCCTGACCTGAAGCGTTTTGGTCTCATGAGATGCCAAAGAGACACAGCGCTCAAAACCTCGGCCGACCAGGCGCGCACGTCCCACAGTAAACGGGTTCAAACGGCAGTGCCTGCCTCTAAATAACATGTGATGTCCATGATATCACGCACGAGGCAGCCGCTGATGTGTCCATGTCCCAATGTGTGCGTCTAAACGATTTTTGTGATCAAAGTGCCTCGTCAGCTATGCACCCCCAGTCTTGCGGGCTCAAACAGCAGCTTTTACCTTCAACTGACATCTGAGGTCATCACGCCCGACATAAAGCAGCGTCCAGGTGACTTTGCCACAAGCTATGCTGCTGGGGGAGCTTGCAATCAGTCATAACCAAGTGCCACAATCGCCAAGGGACCACGGGTAGGCTGGATACATAACGCAAACACACTTCTCAAACGGCAGGGCCTACCTTCAAATGGCATCAAGAGTCTATATTCCCATGAAAAATGTCGCGTAGATGTACTCATAGCAATATGCGTGCATGTCGTGGGCCTGAGACCATTCATATCGACGTGCCACATCAGTCAAGCGCGCTCGACCCTAGCCCAAGCTTTGCACGGCACGTGTACGTACCGGGCCCCAACGGCGACCAAGTGACCTCGGATACACATCAAACATCCTCGTCAGCAGCGTTGCTTCGTCAACAAAACCACCGAATATTCCGAGCAGCTGCAGGTTGACTATGAGCACAGGCATGAGGTCAACCCCCGTGAAGATACAGACAAGCCGGCACCAGCGATTAAACGGCCGGACCCACCTAAATGCGGCCTTAAACCGGACAATTACCACAGATTAGGCATTCCGCATGTCTGCGCAGTCATACAAAACGTCGTCGTTCGCGCCCGGCTGACCTTTGCCTCCCCTGTTATCAAGGCGCGCGAACGATCAGCGTATCATAGCTCGGGCGGCCTAATTTAGCAGGCAAGGCGGGTCAAGAAGCAGCACAAACCTGATTCCAAGCGTGCAGCTGTCATCTCATCGGTCAAATTAGCACTTTCTGAAGCCGTGAACAAACAAGAGACGACGGACGGGGCTGCCCCGAGTAGATGAGATGCGTAGATATGGCCTTGGTACCGCCATCAACAAATGTTAGCAAAATACTCCCAAACGAAAATCAACGATAAGCGACGTTCTCACAAGGCTTCACTCACCGGCTGTCCGAATCACAATCTGCTCATCCTAGTCCATACGTTATTCCCGACACGTTTGAATCCGCCTCGGTCGGCCTGGGTGTGTCAGAATCGGGGGCGCGGCCGCTTTAGGTCAGACGTCTCAAGCAATTGAGAAGCCCGAAACAGCGATCGACATGGAGCGTGGCAGCCTCAACAAACCTGCCTGGTACCAAATCGCATTCGCCATGCCCCATCGTGCTCTTGGCACGTCTTGGGCACATTCTGGAGGCTGTGGCAAGCGATCAAAGAGCCTTGGCACCCTGACCGTGCCGCGTATCCGGGTGAGCAAACAATCAAGGTCGTACTTTTAAGCTTGGTGGACGAAAAACCAGGCCAAATTGAACGAGCAATGCTTACTGTTGCATCGTCTTGCCATCGTCGTCCCGGCCGACCAGCATCATGAGTCAATGCGACCAGTGGTGTCCAGCGCCCTTGCTCGACTCGAACACAGGCCGATGGTTTGGAACGCATGTGTGGTCGAGAACAAACAAACAGTAAAATGTCTGACAACTTTTGCGTTTGTCTTACATTTTGTAAAATGTCTGACAACTTTTTCGTGGTTCTTGTTGTTGGAATAATAAGGCGAAAGAGGAGAAAGGAAAGAGGGCTTTCTGTTGGTTTTGAGACGGTGCACGACTGCCCTGGTTAGATATTGAGCTCGCGGTTCGTGACAGCTTCTTGCGCTGGCTCAAGAAAAAAAAAGAAGAAGGAAAATGCACCAGTTCCTTTGAGCAGGGAGCAACAAACCACGAACACGTTGACAAAGCGCACCTTGTCGTCATTTCGAGCAGGGTCAGCCATGGGGACCCCGAAGGTTCGACGGGCTCTTCATTGTTCATCCCAGCGTTTTTGGTGTCGCCACGGCTGGCAAACGCTCAACGGTTTGGGGGATGGCATCGCTACCAGCAGCAAGAATTAAGAATTACACCTTGGGATAAAATTTATTTCTGCTGAATTTCTTCCAGGATGATCAACACTTCGCATGTCAGCTCATAGAACTCAAACACAACAGGCGATCAAGTCAGACAGCAAAGGGCCAATTTGCTGCCGAGACAACACTCAAGACATCACCCAAAGCTCAAGCAGCCTGGGGCCTTAACAAGTCATGCAGTTCTCGCTGGTGATGACTTGGCAAGTACCCAGCGATCGAACCGATTCTGGGACTGTTGATGTGTCAAGTTGAGAATTTGAGCAAATGTGCAAGGTTCCCTCGACGCTGGTGATATTGCCAAGACCGTCCACATTGGTTAAAGCGTCATTGCCCTGCACGAGCCAGCAAAACAAGACATGAGAGGCTTGCAGACACACCATCCTCATCTTCTGCCTCGCCACGTTGGCATTCGCGCCATATTCAGAGTAGTACGCCTTTGCTTAGCAACGTACGTAGATGCCCAAGTAGCCCCTGACGATTGTGATGCTTCCAAGTCCATCCACGTTGGTCAGGGCGGCATTAGCCTGTCCAAGCCAACAAACAAACCATCAGAAGCTCCAAAGACACTTTCCTGATACCCTGTTTTCCGCATCCACACACGCGCGCAACATTCAAAGCAACATGCTCGCATACAACAACCTACTCTGATGGACAAATAGCCACCCACGTCGGTGATGCTTCGAAGACCATCCACGTTGTCTAGGACGGGGTTGGACTGTCGCAGGCATCAGAACAAGCCATCAGATGTTTGCATCATTCCAATCGGCCCACCTTCGCTACGCACACGCTTCATCCCAACTGGCACACCCTCACATAACAACGTACAAAGATAGATAAGTAGCCGCCGACGCTGGTGATGCTTCCCAGGCCATCCACATTGACCAGGGCTTCATTGTACTGTTTGAGCGAGCAAAACAAGACATCAGGCGCGCACAAGCACATTTTTCTCATATTTTACACACACGAGTCATGTTCGTCGAAAGGACACAAGAACCTACTCTTATGTCCACGTCGCCTCCTACGCTTGTGATATTTCCAACCCCAGCCACATTGATCAGGGCATCATTGGACTGTGTGAGCCAGCAAAGCAAGCCATCAGACGCAGACCACCCTCATGTTCTGTTGGCTCATGTCATATAGATCCGTCATATTATTCAAAATGACCCGCCCTTAGACTACGACGTACGTTAATGAAAAAGGAGTCGCCGACGCTAGTGATACTTCCAAGTCCGTCCACGTTTGTCAGGTTCGTATTGAGCTGTTCAAGTTAAGGCAAGAATCCATCAGGCGCTGACCATCATCGTCATCATCGTCATCATCATCATCACCAACCCAACACGCTCGTCAATGCGACATTCAAATGACACACGCCCTCAGAGAACGACGTACACCAATGCGCAAGTGGCCGTCGACGCTGCTGACATGTCCAAGCCCATCCAAATT